CTAGCGCCCCTGTAAATGTTGCAAAGTGCTGCTGATACCCTGGACAGCGGTTTTTTAAAGTTTTTCTCCCACTTTTTAATAGCACACTTACAGCTGCAGGTGGCAAGTGTCATCTTAGAAGAGGTATTTTTCACTTTTTGCAGGCGGGATGGAATGCCTCTTTGACACATTTAGGCAGCACACCTGAAAATACAATGTGTGTGTGTTGTTCTTCTGAACTACTGGTTTTTACTCAAACACAAATTTGTGCAGCTTTATTAAAATTCCATATGATTCACCGAAGATTCTTTAATGGGGCGACAGCCTTATTTTAAAAGTCTTGCAATGCTCCCAAAGATGCTGAAGTTTAACTTGGATGGGTGTTCAAAGGATAAGAGTTTGGGCACTGGGGGGAAAGTACAGGGTGTTCTTTCCGTCTGGCTGTAGCCCATGGATAGCATTGTAAGGAAGATGCGTTAAGTTGATCCTGGAGATGAATGGGATGTACAGGTAGGGTCTCTCCAACATGTTTATAGGTCAAAGGAGGCAGGAAGCCTGTTTAGATATCAGAGTGCCTCGGTAATTCGCTCCTGATGACATTCCTCGTGAGAAGATGGACCAGTTTCCAGCGGATAATCCAAGTTAGAAGCATGCTGAGAATAGGAGAGGCTCTTCACAGCAATGCTGAAGTTAGCTGTTGGGCCTATTTGTATATGAGAGTGAGGGACTGAGAGAACTGGGCCACCAAAGGGTCAGCTGTGTTAAGGACAGAGCATCTCCTGGGAGGCAAATTCTCCATATGTTTACTGTCACTGAACCTGGTCCTGCTCTCTTCACCTGTCTTTCCCGATACCACTAACATTAACCGAAAGCAACCTGAATTCCGCCATCCGTGTGAAATTCTGTATCAGCATTTCTTACGCGGACATAATTCCCTTGGAAGTGCTTGGTAAAACACACATGGGTTCCCTCTGCTACTGCCTTGCTGGGAGAGGAGAAGAAAAAATACCCACAACTTGCGGGTGGTTTTTTTTTTTAATAACAGAAAAGGGAGATTTATTTATTAATAATTCATGAGTTCTCATCGAACATGCACGAAGCAACGGTGCTATTCAATAGAGAATACTGTCATCTGTCACTGTTTTATTTGACATTTACACTTTTTTTTTTTTGCTTGGTACTGCAAAACTTTCTTGGATGGCACGCTAAGATTATTTAAATGGGAAGAAACGTCTTACAGGATGCGCACACGCTCCGTCTTTTACCTGGTTAGAAGGGACCGCTTTGGGGATGCGTGCTGGTGCAGAGTCATCTTGCAGACGGCACCCACTGACCCCATTTTGTAGACGGTTAGATAGTTCTAAGTGGGCTAGGAGAAAGGCTGCTTAAATAAGTAGAGGGGGGAATGAAAGCATGATCTGTTGTAGATAACTGTACAGATAGACTGTGGAACGAGGAGAAAACAAATAACCGCGGTTAGGAAGGCAGCAGACGCAAAATGAATTGCCACTGCTGATGCCGAATAAATATTTATAGATGGGTATCAGAGGGAGGCCCAGTGGTTATAAAATTGCAAGCATGAAGAGGGCATTTAGCACAATGACATTAGAGTGAGGAGGGCTGAGCAATTCCTTGCTAATATTAGGCTCCTGGAAATCTTTCTGCTCCGTAGGTTAGTTATTATTTATAAAAATTGCAGAACCAGCTGATACATTCATAAGCTAATTATTGTGGCAGCTGGGCATGGCTGGTGCAATATGTCTGAGGCTGTGAAGTATCACAGATTTCTTGGGCCCTGCTGTGGTGTGTGCGTGTGCGTGCGCGGGGCACGCTCGAAGGCTAGATTCCTTAATCTGATCAGCCGAGCAAATAGTTTCTGCAGGAACCGGATTAATATTTCCCTAAATAACGCGAATGTGATTCACTTTCCAAACCGGGCTGCCCTAAACGTGCCGTGAGTGACCGCCCGCCGGGGGAACTGCAGTGTTCTCAGGTGTCCTTGGGATGAGATCCGTGGCCAGCGACTCCCCGTGCCAGAAATTAATTTGGTTTGCTCACGCCTGCACACATGGTCACGCTGCAGCGTCGTTCTCTCTGAGCGTCCTGGTCGAGACCTTGCGAGTTGCCTGGCAAACTGAGCACCGTACTTCCTAAAGACAAATAGCAAGAATGTGCCCCGTCCATAATGAGGCCTGTAGTGTCAGGCTAAGTGGCCATAATGAGCGCAGATCATAGGTGAGCTTATCAATCAGACACAGCCAAGACAGTCCAAGCTCACAAGGAGAGACGGTAGCAAGTCCCCCATCCCCTGTTTTCTTGTTTGGACTGAGCCCTCTCATGTGGCAACTGGGTCCTCAGGCCGCCTGGCCCGTCGTAGTTGCCTCGAGATCACTCAAGATGTTGACTTTGAACAGCCATGGGATTTTTCTTTTCCTTTTTCAAAAAATAAATCTACAAAATAACTGATCTTCATGCTCTCGTTCCCCCCGGGAGGGTTTTCAACTGTACCTGCTTGAAACATTTGAAAGTGTTTAGCTGGATGGAGAAATGGGAGCTTATTCCCCCTCCCCCCACAGATGGTTTATTTTACATTTCAAAAATTATTTCCCTTTGTACAAAGGAAACCCCTGAGAAAACACTTTGGAGCTGAGCAGGGGGTGGGTGGGTGGGTTTCTCCCCCCCCCCATCATTATTAAAGAGATATGGGATGGGGGGGGGTAAGAGATGTCTGTGGAAGTCAGCCATCACCTGATTCTGTGGTTAGCCACATACCAACTAAAATACTCAATACAGATATTTATTCCAAGCAAATAATTAGATATCTTCTTTTCAGCCCCCCTTCCCTTCCCTTCTCCCCTCTCCTAGCTTATTGCAAGAAAAGATCAGGTCTGCACAAATGTGGCCTCTCACTTGTAAAAACAAGGCAGTGTTGTGTTACAGATTAGTTTATAAATCCCCAGTGGCTTCACAGTTCAGTGCCTACAGCTGCTGCAGATGGGCCTAGGTTTTTGTCTCTTCGCTGCGCTGCAGCCGGCAGTTGAAGGAGAAAATGGAATGATCAGGTTATTAACATGTAGGCCGTGAGGAAGAGGCTGCACAATGAGAACAGCTGGTGTTGCTGTCTTGGCTGATGCAGCGGAGATAATCAAATCTTGCCTTTTTCGGGGGGGGGGGGAGGAGAGTAAAGGCAGAAGACACAGCGAAGAGTTAGACAAACAGCGACATAATATCATCGGAGGCTTTTATAGCACCTTCTATCGGGAGTTCTCCTCGACTTACGAGTTGGTCTGTCAAAAGCTTTCAACTGCGCTTGGGGTTAGTGATGAATCTTTCTTTTGAGGTACCTTCATATGTAGAGTTTGTTTTGTTTTGGGCGGGGCAGAATTTAAACCTTTAAAAAAACACTTCAGAGTGTTGAGGTGCTCCTTCAGAAAAAGTCACTGAACTTGCTTCGGTCCCACCAGGACAAAAGCACTCTTAATAGCGTATGGATTGTGCACGTTCTGGCTAAACGCAGAGCTGTGGCTTGAAGAGGACGGGCTATAAAACTGTCACAATAAGTTACTTAACAAGAGTTGGAAATGCCTGTTTTTACATTACATCATGATTGCCTTGAGTTTCCCCTTGTAAAAAAACAACCACCACAAAGGGATGATCCAGGCACAGCTGTACAGGAGACAGATGTTTGCAGGTACAAGCAAAGTTTCCTCCTGCACCAGGCTTTGCAGATGTACAAGGTAAAGAAACCATTAGTGATTAGATCCAACTGATGAGAACATGTACCCTTCACATATATGTAAGCCGCTGAGGTTAAGAGAGTTTCCCACCCGTTAGCAAGTATTTTCCTTCTGTCCCACAGCTTGCATCAGTCTGTTCCCTTAAGACCATAGGCAACATTGACTATTAGAAGGAAACCCTGTAAAATTTACTACATGATAATATTCCACATAACAAATTGAAATCCATCACATGTCTTAGGGGGTGGGCAAGTGGGTGGGTGTTGCTTTCAGCTGCTGCTGACAAACCAATCACGAATAGCCTCCCTGCATTCTTTCCTTGTGCTTTTTTAAATTGTTGCAGTGCTGAATGCCAGATCATGGGCAACATGTCATACCTTGTTGTGTAGAGGGCTGCTCCTAAGGATTCCCTTTTGAAATTCTTCTGACTTTGATTCTCTCTGGGTGCCATCTTTACTTATCAATTGATTTACAAAATTTATACCCTGCCTTTCTGGCCCTCATAAGGGCTGACAAATTAAAAATATAATAATATCACATCTTAAAAACTGTTAAAACTGACTCAAACCACGCATTAAAACAGTTAAAAGCAGAGCTAAAACATAACAGTCAAAAAACATTGGGCCAGGGAGGTGGGATCACTGGGGGAAAGCTGAACGAAACAAAAAAGGATTCACCCAATGGCAGAGGGTGGCAACAGAAGGGGGCGGAAGAGTCTCCCTGAGGAAAGACTGCCAAAATTTTGGGGCCATGACCGAGAAGGCCCTCCCCCAGGCCCAAAGCCAGGGTGACTGCAGTCGTTGGGTTCCATCTTCTCTGCGTGTGTTTTCTTGCTCATTTGTGATATCCCAGGTATGAGTAGTTGTTCTACCCTTCCATCATGTTGGAACTCTGGAGTTTTCAGATATGGGTCCATGGAAGAGCACCACAAGCTGTTGTACTGCCCAGTAGTGTGAGGAAAGAGGTGTGTGTGTCATTTGGGGCAAAATTGAAAAAGCTGTTTTCTGTCGTTAGATGTCTCAGTTTGAGACCCTGTGCACTTAAATGTGTGCCTGGGGCAACTTGGAGGATGTTGTCTGGGTTTTAGTAGAACTGTAGTATGTGTGATATCTTCGGCTTTCCCCAGTTCTCCGTTCGGTAATAGGAGCTGCCCCAGTTATGTAATTGGAATTGAAAGCACTGCCTGTAAGAAATCATGCTAGGACAATGGAAGCGAGAGATCATTTAGCAGTAAACAGGTTTGCTCAAGCTCAGCACTTGTGATGTTCTGACTTCCTGCTGCAGGGTTGGCTATGTGAGCTGCTCCGCTGGAAAGAAAACCCAAGTCCCGAAAACCGCACGCTTTGGGAAAACCTCTGCACCATTCGGCGATTCCTGAACCTCCCCCAGCACGAACGGGACGTAATCTACGAAGAGGAGTCCAGGCACCACCACAACGAGCGGATGCAGCACGTTGTCCAGCTCACCCCGGAGCCTGTGCAGGTTGGTCTGTTTTCAGTGATTCTTTTGTCCTAAATGGGCCATTAAGGAAAGAAAACTTGCCCGGGTCAAGCATCAACCTGACTAAGAAACACAGGCTATTTAGTGTCTTCTCCAGGATTCCCAGCTTCCTTTTGAAATCAGGATTATATTGCCTAAATTGTGTGTTCAGATGAGTCCGTTTGGTTTTTTCCTTACAAAGAGAGCCAGATAGGATAGCAGGAGTTGAGTCCATTAGCACGTTAGAGACCAACAAGATTTTCGGGGTGTAAGCTTTCAAGAGTCAAAACTCCTTTCATCAGACTCTTGAAAGCTTACACCCCGAAAATCTTTTTGGCCACTGAGGCACTACTGGACTTGAAGCTAACTGTTCTACTGCAGACCAAAATGGCTGCCCTCTGAAAATCGCTTCGTGTAAGGTAGGATAGCACTTCTGTCCGGTGTCTCCTCTTATCCATGCATCGCGAATTGGTTATTGAAAAACGTTTAGCAATAGTTCTCCATTTTACATTTTTTAAAATATAATTTCCAAGGTTTGTAATCATCATGTTATTAGAACAGGGATAGTGCTGGGAGACAAACCATCCCAAAGGAGATGTTTGTTTATGAAAATATCTGAGGGGAAAATTGGAAAACATAGCGTTTAATAAAACAAGATACTTCTAAAAGCCAGTAGGGCGGCTGGTTTAGCTGGTCTATATTTAACCTTCGATTTCTTGCATGTCACCCTGTCTTACCTGTTAAACTTTTTGTAAGTAAAAGCTGAATGTGAATGTCTGCCATGAGATGACTGGGGGTGGGAAAGGAATTTTAATGGAATATGTGGTTGTGCAAATTTACATCCCATCTTACCCATTATTGGGGTTTTATGGACAGTTTTCAAATTCACCTCCCTTGTGATTTTTTGTTCCCCGTGGCGATTCTTATGTTATATTCACAATAATTCCTTTTTCTGTTACTATCTTCCCCTGACCATATTTCTGTTTTGTTTCCATTTTTGGAATGAAGTCGTCATCCCCTAGCCCTCATTCTTATCCTTGCAGTACCGTGGATTTTTGGAGAACATTCTGGAATTACCCTCAGTATCTTCTTACACCATCACCTCTTTTCTCAGACATCTGTCTTAATTAAATGAGACTCAAGTAGAAAATGGCTAACAAAATTCTGGCATAAACTTCCACAAGTCAGGGTTTTGTTTCGACTCCAGCAGCACCTTAGGGACCAACAAGATATTTGGGGTATGAGCTCTCAAGAGTAAAAGCTCGCTTCATCAGATAACCAGAGTTTATGCTGTGAACGTCTTTAAGGTGCCACTGGACTCCTGGTTAATTTTGCCACAACAGGCTAACATGATTCTAGGCTTCTCTTTCCTAACTGTGAGGTTTGCTCATTTCTAAAAATAAAATAAAGATAAGTTTAAGCCGAACCTATCAAAGAAAGCCCTATGCGGCAGAATGTTTGGGATTTTTAAATTTCTTGCTAACAAAACAGAATTTCAGTCAAGAATTTCCAGTCCTGACAGTAGGTTCAAGTTGCTGTTGTTGATATTCTTTTCAGAGTTGGAGTACGTTTAGTGGTTGACCTTGATAATTTAGCCTACTTCGGGAATGCATCACTTTTCTGCATGGTGTGTGTCGTTTCTTAGTGACACATTGCCCAGCATCGAAATGTGATGTGTTTGTATCTTGTCAGCAAGTTACAAAGCCTCGGATTAATTATTTATTACAATCAAAATATGAAAAACCCCGAAGAAAAATAAATGGAACCAGCTGGCAGCTACATATAGCAAAACTCTGGAGACTTTCCAACACAGCTGATACATTAGAACTGTGTGCTGGGGGGTATTGCATTTAAGGTATTGTTGTGCCTGTCTGTTATGGGCCCTGTTAACCTGGTGCTAAATCCAGTGACAATCTATTAAGCAATTCAGCCAGAAAGTAATCGCACGATAGCTAGGTTCTGATGCACAAGACTGCAGCCCTTACTGAATTCTTCTGCATTCTTCTGTTACAGGAGGGCCATCCTTGGTTTCCTTGGCCCATCCACAGTTTTAATAAATATATTTAACTCGTCTATTATTTCCTCTGCAAGTGCTAGTTCCAGGCCTAATTCTAATTTCCATACTTCCATTTCTTCTTTCCCAAGCCTGCCAATTAACATGTTACGTAGCACATAGGCGGGGCGGAGAGGGGGAGGAGAAGGTCTCCACCCTGTGTCAATGTAACATAGCTGCTCATGAGTTGCTGGTTCCCCTCAATTCCTGTATCTGTGATGCCTGATTCAGATCAGGACCATGGTGTGTGAATAAGGGGCACTGGCCTTTCCTCACCACATGCCATTTTCCCAAAAAGGCAAATAGTGCCCTCTGAGACTGTTGCAGGTTAGACAGATAGCATGGGGGAAAGCTTGAAGTCCCTTCTCCACACGTTGTGTCATATTTATCCCTAGCACACACCTCATGCATAGCTGGAGTTGCCTGGCAACCAGCGGGAGGGTTGTGGTGGGGGCAGCAGCCCAGAAGAGACAAGGGTAGCTCTAGGAATCGCCAGGAACTTTATGGTCAGAACTCCTAGTAAGTAGGCGGCCATATTATTATTTTTAATTTTTCTTCCAAAAATGATTGTGCCCCCCACCTTTGGCTCCCGTTTCTGCCTGCTGATTAGATGAGCATCGGTGGGCAAAGCCTCAATTGCCTGGAGGCAGGGCTCTTTTTGTAGCAGGAACTCCTTTGCATATTAGGCAACAGCCCTAATGTAGCCAATCCTCCAAGAGCTTACAGTAGCCCCTGTAAGAAGAGCTCTGTAAGCTCTTGGAGGATTGGCTACACTAGGGGTGTGTCGCCTAATATGCAAAGGAGTTCCTGCTACAAAAAGAGCCGTGCCTGGAGGTTTCCCGCCATAAGCAGGCCAATGGGAACACTATGCATGGGAACAGAGGAGAACCCACGACTCACATATGACTCTATTGCTTTGTGGACACAAGGAAGGCACACCAGATCTGTGTACTGTGTAATGTGTGAATCAGTCCTCATAAACCCACCCAAAGTGCTGAGTCACTCACGTCATTTGCTTTTCCAGCTCCAGCACTGAGCACGGTGAAGCTGTTAGAATCTGTCATGGGCTTTCCCAGCCTTAATACTGAGGCCTAGCCAAGTGATAGTTTTCCGTTAAAAAATTCAATGGCTGATGACGTTGCTACTCTACAGCTAGGGCAAAATAATCTTCAAAAGTAATTCAGGCTAACTAGTCTCATTCAGTGGCAGCCAAATGTTGCTTTTACAGTTTGCGCATCCTCTATCAGTAGTCCTTTGCAGCATTTTGATGCTGCTTTTGGGTTCTGAGAAGAACACATTTATTTTGAACAGTCTTGGGAGGTGCGTCGGCCACAGAAAGAATGTTGATGATGCAACGAACTGCCAAGAATTGTTGACACTGTGAATGGAGCATTTGGTGCATACTTGTACTTCCATATTTGTGTAGAAATTTAGAATTATATGCTGCCTCTCCAGAGACCTGCTCAAGGCAGCTCACAAAGTAAAATATGATTAATTAAAAGGAACCATAAAACCCAGCCAGATCATAAAAACATAAAGCATTCAGCGTCCTAAAATGATGGTCAAAAACAGGCCTTGGATTAGGAGCAGACTGTAAAAAAACAATTGACAGAGTTAAAACATATCAGTTACGAGCCTGGATAAAAGCAGCATCTGCAATGTACTTCATAAATAGCACATGTTAATAAATAAAGCAGCATAGTTTAGGAGCTGTTATGCAGAACTGTCTGTGTACTGGCCTGGATCTGGAAATTCTTATGCACCTTCCATCCTCTCCCTTTTAAAACAATAGTTTAGGATTATACTCTTGAAATGACTAGGGATGCTTTGTTTGGTACATGTTTTTGAAAAGAAAGAAAGAGGAGGGATAAATGCCTTTAGATCTAGTGAAACAGAACATTTCTGAACGCAAGATACCATTGAACCTGGGTCACGGCCACCTCTCCTTGGGGAATGGCATGGCTACAAAATCATCATCAGAAGAGGAACAGCCATGTGTATACATGCAGTTATCAAACTAAATTCATTTAAATGTGGACTAAATTAGTGACGTGGCATACAGATCTGGGGAAATAAGACGAGAATACCTAATGAATTATCTTCTAAGGTCTTTTAAAAGAAAGCTGCTTAAATAGTGTGTGTGTATTCTTCTGAGAAGCACAACTCTATGGCATTGCTAGTTCCAAGGTTTGTATTGACGATTCAGAGCAATCTTAGCTTATACTTGTGTTCCTTTATTTAGCTTTGTAGAATCTTGTATAGTGTGAACCAGAGAGAGGTTATTTGGGAAGATCATATGAGCCTAATTGGTTATATTTTTTCCTCACTTCACAAATACATTTGTTCCTCCAGACTTCTAGCTGTGCCTTGTTCTCACTGCAGCACTATAAGAAGAGTAATAAGTTCTTCATCTCAAATCCGCCTTCAGAAAACCAATAAAATTTATTGCCCAGTGTGGTGATTGCCATTTTCAGGAGGTTTGGTTCTGTTTGGATTCTGTCTGTTAAAGTTCAGTAGTAAATTCATCAGTTCTACTGGCAAAAATTATTCCAAATAGCAGGAGACCTGTCAACGCTATGGTGGGAGAGTTCCCATTGGCAACCTGTGCTTCCTGCTGCAGCTCCTTTGGGCAGTGGGAGAAAAAAAAATCACCAGCATGACGATGTGACATCACTTCCAGGGAAAACCTGTCACCAGCGTGACGATGTGTGGGGAAAACCTGGAAGTGTTGTCACGCTGTTCTAGCAATCACTGGAAATGCTACTATTTTACCATAGATTTTCCTGTGTTTCCTAGAGCAGCGTGGTATCACTTCCAGTTTTCCCCAGAAGTGGTGTCACACACAACGACAGGGCTTCCATGTCACATTCCATTGTTGTCCTCCATGTGCCAATCATTGACTGACATCCCTATAGACCAGGGGTGTCAAATTCATTTGTTATGAGGGCCA